CTCCTTGGCCTGTGACCTCCGGGTAAGGGCCCTTCACCCTGCGGCCATTTGCTCTGCTGGGCTTCACCCTTCCCCGCACCCCCTCCTCCACCCCAGCAGACAGGGGTCCGGTCACGGCACCAGTGCCTCTGGGCGGCTGCCCTCTTTGTCCCAAGGTCCCTCCCAGCTGGTAACCTTGGCGGTTGGCGGGGTCCCGCTGCATTGGGGCGAGGGCCCTGCGTGGAGAACATCCCGGCTCCCCTCGCTGTCTGTGGCTTAGGTTACAAAGTGCCGTTATTTTTCCTGTCTGGCTTACACCGCCTGCCTCTCCTGGCAGATTTTGTTTTACCTCGAAATGAAATTGATTCGGGGTCTGCAAACCAGCAGACTTCCCGCATTCGCTCTGTGAGACGTGGGGGCTTCACCCTTCCCCTCACCCCCCATCCACCCCCAGCAGACAGGGGTCCGGTCACGGCACCAGTGCCTCTGGGCGGCTGCCCTCTTTGTCCCAAGGTCCCTCCCAGCTGGTAACCTTGGCGGTTGGCGGGGTCCCGCTGCATTGGGGCGAGGGCCCTGCGTGGAGAACATCCCGCCTCCCCTCGCCGTCTGTGGCTTAGATTACAAAATACCATGATTTCCCCGTCTGGCTTAGGCCGCCTGCCTCTCCTGGTAGATTTTGTTTTACCTCGAAATGAAATTGATTCGGGGTCTGCAAACCAGCAGACTTCCTGCATTCGCTCTGAGATGTGGTTCTGCCTGGGGCCTCCTGGTTCAAGTCCCCGATGCCCCCCCACCGCCGTGGCAGCATCTCATCCCCTGGGCCCCCATTCAGCACAGGCACCCTCAGCGCTTCCCCTGCAGCCCCAGGGACCCGCTAAGCCCGGGCCCCAGCCGGTCACCAGTTCCCCAGGTCCTGCCTGCAGCCCCAGGTCCTCAAACCGGTGTGGTAGGGCCCTGAGAGTTGACCCCTTAGGCAGAGGGGCACTGCGCCCCCACACCCGGCCTCCCCTTCTCCCCGGAGGAAATGCCGAGAGCACCCAGTCTGAGCTGAGTCCAGCTCCTGGAGGGCTCAGCCTGCGCAGTGCGGCCACCAGAGGGGACCCGTCTGCAGGGTGGTGGGCAGAACAGGCCTCCCAGGGGAGCTGGGTGCCCACCTGGCCCCAAAGCCGTCCTTCCGCCGCCCCCTTGCCCCTTCCGAAGGGGAACCAGGTGTGGTTTTCGCCCAGCCCAGCTGCCTGCCTTGGGAGGCGGCAGAGGCTGTCGCCCTCTGCTGGCCAGTTCCTGTTACTGCAGGAAGAGTCACCCTGCCACCCAGCCCGTGCCCACCGGGAGCCAGCCCAGCACATCATTCCCATCCACGGGTCAGAACCAGGCCTCGGCGGGCGCTTCCCTCCGCTGGGGTGGAGCAGAGCTGGATTGGGAGTCAGGACGGTCTCTGCAGCTGATGTGTGTGGCCCCCATTTTCACGAGCCCAGGAGGCTGCAGGGCCCTCTGTGCATCTGTAACTGTCGCTGTATTACCAGAGGTCCCTTCAGGGCACAAGCTGGGACGTGGCGGCCAGGACTTGTACGCAGCCTCCAGGATTGGAGCCCTCTGCTCTTTCCTCCACAGGCTGCAGGGACTTCCTGCCAGGTGCTCTGTTCAGAAATAAGGGGGTCCCTTGCCTCCAAATGGGCAACCGACTGAGGCCTGCGGGTGTGGAGACTGCCTCTGAGCCGCTCCAATCGGATGAGGCAGAAGGTGCTGGAGCCCAGGCTCAAGTGGAGGCGGCAGGAAGGGAGTGGGCTTTGCTCGGGCTCGGGCTCAGCACCTAGCCCTGTACCAGGTGCTCATGGTCCGGCAGAGTGAAAGTCTTTTTCTTCACTTTGAACACCCCAACTCGCAGGGTCACGTGCCCAGAGAGGCCCTCCCCACTGCCCTCCCTGGGAAGCCAAGGTAGGGCTGGGGCACACTGGAGTACTGGGAGGCCTGGAGAAGACTTTTTGGGGCCAGGAATGAGGAAAGAGAACACGTAGGTTTCCGTAGAGGGGACATTGAGACGGGGGATGGTTAGGGTGTCCTCGGAATCATTATAACAGCCAACATTCGTTGAAAATGGACTCTGTGTCGAGCATTGTATGAGACAGTTTATGCACTTACTTAACCCTCACAACCACACTGTAAAGCAGGTCTCCCTCGGGACTAGACTGAGGGGAGACACCCTCATCTAGAGCAGGGCTCAGCCCCTCGCTAAGCAGATGCCACAGGTCCCACTGACTCAGAGGAGCTCCTTTTGAGGAAGGGAATGGTGGACACACCCTCCTAGACTCCGAAGACATGCAGGTTGTAGCCCAAAGGCCTCGGCTGGGGGAGTCCAGCCGCACCTGGTGGGTGCAGCCTCCCTTCCCGCCTCCACACCCTACGCCTTGGCACATGCTGTCTTCTCCCCGGGGAGAGCCGTCCCTTCACTCATCTGCTCCTCTGAGAGACCCTCCTCTCCCTCTCTCCCCTGGCTCCCGGAGCGAGCGCTGAGGGTGGCTTAGGGACGCTGGTTGTCTGCGTGCCGTGAGAACTGCGTGGGGGAGGCCGGGGCAGGAGGAAGCTTCTACTGGATAGTGCACTTTGTTGTGCCGGTAACGTTTTGTGCCTTTGAAGTGAAGAAATTACTAAATTCAGAAATAAATTTAATTTAAATATTAATTATTGCACCTTTTTAAAGGCTGGGGAAGGACAGTGTTTAACCTCAAAGACCAGAGTCTGAGCCTGGCCCGTGTGGTTGAGTGTCGACCTATGAACCAGGAGGTCACAGTTTGATTCCTGGTCAGGGCACATGCTGGGGTGGTGGGCTCCATCCCTGGTAGGGGGTGTGCAGGAGACAGCCAATCAGTGATTCTCTCTCATCACTGATGTTTCTCTCTCTCTCTCCTTTTCCCTTCCTCTCTGAAATCAAAAGTATATTAAAAAAAAAAAAAGACCAGAGCATAAGAGAACCTCTGAGACTCCTCATTTGAGAGGAAACAGTGGCATTTCAGTCCCTTCTCTCTACCTCCCCTTCCTTCACCCCGCTCCTGCCTCCTAGGCCAGCTGGGCCTGGTTGCTGTGCCCCACCCTCTGCCCAGGTCCTCCAAGAGCTTCACCAGATTGGCTGGAGAGCAGAAGCGCCCGCCCCCTCCCTATCCAGGTGTGTGGGCAGAGCACCTGGATTCTCACTAGCCCTTGTGCACATGGGCAAGTAACCGATGCTCCCTGAGCCAGCATCTGGCCCTGTAAGGGGGACAGCGATGGCCTGGCTGCTTCCTTACTACATCTGAGGGGTGTGTGTAAGAGTTCACCTGGAGACCTCGGGGACTGCTGCCTGCCCTTCTCGGCCCAGCCCCACTGAGGGCCCTGCTGATCTGCTGAGTGTTCTCTTGCAGGCCCGTCCCTCTCTGCACATCCGTGCCTCACCTGGGACGCAGGTGCATCCCTGCCCTTCCTGTCTCTGTGTGGCCGAGCTGAGGCTGAAGGAGCACTGATGGCCTGGTCTTAGCATTCTCGTCTGCAAAATGGGGACATAAACAATAGCTATATGCCAGGGCTGTTGGGGAAATTAAATAAGATTATGGATGTGAAGTGCTTGGCACACACAGGCCTGGTGCTGGCTCATAGATGGTGGCCGCTGTTATTGGAGTTGTTCAGTGGAGGGACCTGCAGAACGTGCAGGCCTAGGGCAGGCTCCTCATTACTGCTCCAGCCGCGGGGAATAATGAGGCTGTGGTAATAGCTGCTCACACTCGCTGCCCCTCTGACAAAAGGACTCAGTGGCTGTGGATGGGCCCAACCAAGTGAGAAGTGAATGGTGCATAATGTGACTCTTCGGGGCTTAGCCCAGGGTGGGGGCCTGGGAAGGACCCTCCAGCTGTGGCTCCAGGTGCTGAGGGGCCCCACAGGCTAGGAACCCAACCACTTCCAGGTGGTTCAGCCAAGAGCCTTCAAACACAAACACTAACACGTACTGAGCGCCTCCAAGTGCCAGGTGCTGCTCTGTGTGCTGGGGCACCAGCCTGTACAACAGACCCCAGGACCTCGGACCTCCTGAGGCCAGTGGGGAGACGAACCAGAATCCAAACAAACAAATAAAAGACATCGAGTGTCGGATGCTGAGAACTGATCTGGAGAAAAAGAAATCACGAAAAGGGACATGGAGGCGGGGGTCGAGCGAGGAACTGCAGTTTAAAATGAGAGCTTAGGAAAAGCCAGGTTCTTTTTTTCAACTCTTTCTTGTAAACGTTTTTAAATAGATGCAGAAATGCTCGGTGTGCTCAGTGGTTAGACCGTCAGTCCACACACCGAAGGGTCCTGGGTTCAATTCCTGGTCAAGGGCACATACCTGGGTTGCAGGTTCTATCCCCAGCCCTGGTGGGGCATGTGCAGGAAGCAACTAATCGATGTGTCTCTGTCATATTAAAGTCTCTCTCTCTCTTTCTCTCTCTCTCCCTCTCCCTCTCCCTCCCTCCCCCCCTCCCACTTTCTCTAAAAATCAATGGAAAAAATATTCTCTGGTTTGGATTAACCAAACAAAAAAAATAAACAGACTAGTTTATGGAGCCTTACCTCTCAGTCATCTAGTGTCAACAACTAACTGCCACTCTTGCTCAACCTGCACTTCCACCTGGAAAGGTTAAACTTGGTGGTGCGCAGGCAGACTAAATAGCCATCTCAGATGTTGAGTAAAGAAAAATTGAATTTATTTAAGGAGAGGGGGATGGGGATATCCAAAGGGAAGGGCTACACTGCACTGAGCCAAAGGTTATGGGGTCCATGATGGCAGCAAAAATAGACCTAGGACAGTGAAACAAGGAGGGGCATAGAACAGTGATGGCGAACCTATGACACGCGTGTCAGAGGTGACACGCGAACTCATTTTTTTGGTTGATTTTTCTTTGTTAAATGGCATTTAAATATATAAAATAAATATCAAAATATAAATCTTTGTTTTACTATGGTTGCAAGTATCAAAAAATTTCTATATGTGACACGGCACCAGAGTTAAGTTAGGGTTTTCCAAAATGCCAACACGCCGAGCTCAAAAGGTTCGCCATCACTGGCCTAGAAGAAGCAACAGGAACGTCTAGGCGGGCTGCGCCGGCTCACTGAGAAATCAGAGAGAAGGGGGCCGTGGAGACAGGTCCAGGGGGTGAGCCTGGGAGGAGCTGCCGCTGCCCATTGCTCCCCGGGTTGCAACTTTCCTGGGGTCCCTTAGAGGTTGGGGGATCCGTGCCTGTGAGGGAATGGCACTGGGTCCTTTGTCCCCAGCACACTTATCTCTCTTGCAGATGGAAATCTTAGGGGAGGGTCTTCATAGAATATTCGTCAGCTTTCCAGGTGTGCTCCTTCAGCTTCCTGGTCTCCTGATTGGTCGGTGCCAGTACAGGGGGTCAGTCAATACAGCTGGTGCTGAGGCCCACATGGCATCCCCTCTCTGGTTTTGCAGGTTTTCTGGGCCTGGAGCTGAGGCCTAGATGTTATCTTTAGGGAGGAAAAGATCGCTAGGTGAGGACAGGTTACCCTGTGGGCAAAGGCCTAGATGTTATCTTTAGGGAGGAAAAGATCAGGGATCCAAACAGCACGACCAGTGATACGCTAGGTGAGGACAGGTTACCCTGTGGGCACGCTTCTTGTTTTCCCAGTTTTGCCCCTTGCTAGGCACCACGGCTTTCTGCCCTGGGGAGTTTCCTGGCTCTGCTCATGTCTGTCTGACACACCGCCTATGCTGTTTAGAAGCACATCTCGGACATCTCCTTCCAGGGAAGGCGTGATTCGAGCAAAGACCGAAGGAGACAAGGAAGCCAGCTGAGGAGGCCAGCCCTTCGGCGACTGGGGAGGCGAGCATTCCAGGTAGAGGGACTCAAGTGCCGAAGCTTCGTACCTGGTGTTTGAAAGACCAGGCTCTCATCTGGGCTCTCCCCTACTGGCTGTGCAGCCTCACAGGAGCCTCTTCACTGCCCTGAACCGCAGTTTTGTCATCTGTGAATCGGGGCTGATGCCTTATTCTAAAGGGCGTGTGTAGGGGTGGAGTGAGACCCCCGGTGAGCGTTTCATAGAAGTGGAGGGACGCACAGAGTCCACTCGCAGGCAGGTCTGGCCTCAGAGACACTCGGTGAGTTGGTGGAGATGAGACAAGCCCCCTACGGTCTCCAAGGCTAGCTGGAGGTTAGGAAGGGGGCCCGGGAGTGAGTTCCTGTAGAAAGCTGTCCTTGAACTCAGTCTAGTAGCCATAGTGATGGGGAGGGTGTGGCTGTGTTTTCTGGCCTACCCCCCCCCCACCCCCGTGGATGGGCCATGGGATCCCAGGGGGCCAGAGACAAGTGAAGGGCTGAAGGCTGAATGGCCAACTGTTCTCTGAGGAGGCTTGGCCCCCAATAAAGACCCTTATCACCACCTCCACCTCCCTCCCAGGGTGATTATCACCCAGAGGGGCCTTTCCTGGGGGACACAAAGAGACCCTCAATTCCCATCCTCTAGGCAGGATAATGGGCCATTCACACTGTGGGACCCCAGCCCACACCTGGACTCCCAGGCAGCCCCGCAGCCCCATTGTCCCAGGCCTGCCCGACAGGGGTGTCCCTGGCAGGGAGGCTCGCCCCCAGCTGGAGCACTCCTGGCCCTTCCCCCACCTCTCCCACCGCCGTCTGGACTCAGGGCTTGATTTGGGGGGAGGTCGGCCGCCATTCATCACACAGTCCTTCACTGAATGTCTCTCCTCTTGAAGTCCTTACGGGGCAATGGGAAAATGGGAAGGAATAATTAGGAAAACCATTAGCGTCTCAAGGCCCATCTGAGAGGGATTAAGGGATTAAAGCCTTCCAACCCAAATCTCCTACTTTAAGGTTGTTGTAGGGGTTTTGTTTTCAGGACGTTTTTTCTCTTCTTTTTCCCTGGGTTAGGGAGACTAAAGTCTTGGTGGATCCTTCCTTCAAAAGCTGCAGATAAAAGTCAGGACATTGAAGTTTGGGTGGAGAAAAGTGAAAGCA